TATATATATAATCAAAATGTTCACAGTAATGGGGTCTCGTGAAAAAAGTGTAAAAACACAGAGATAGTGATCTTAAAAATAGCTCTAGCGGCCGGCTTATCGGTAGTTTTCCGTGGTTTCTTCAATAAATACCACGCGAATGCCGGACCAGTAACCTACCGAACGGGCCACAGACCGCGTGCGATCTTTCCTTCCCATCCTTTGCCCTATTCTACCTCTTACACACACTTACTCAGGCTAGACAAGCACATGTGCCGGGAGACCGGTCGAGAGCTTGGTGCTTGTTCCGGCTGAAGCTGTGTCCCGCTGGTGGGAAATATCTCTGGTTGAGGAAAACACCGCTAACCGACGGTTGAGTCGCTGCCGGATCTCGCCATCCAGCGGAGCAACATCACCGCCATCTCTCGAGGAGAAAATAAGCACTAAACTAATGACCATAGCTGTTGATGCGCTCGGAATCACTAGTAATGAATCAATCATTAAAAATAACATTTATTTACCATGTTCTTACAACTGACTTCGGTAGAATGATTAAAAACGCTTGTCACAGGGCAATTCGAACTAAATGAGACCAATATAATATGGCTGTTGCCATCAGTCGTCAAAGAACCAACGCGGCACGAAATCTGAGACCTGTTGATAGATGTTCCTGGCGATGCCAATGCAACTATCTGTCCTGGCGCAGAGATCACATAAGGTCTTAAGGCAAATTGACTATAAAACAATATTTCTAGTTCTCCGTGGCACTTCAAAATTTGAATATATGGCTTTTGTATGGAGTTATAGCAACTGGAGAAATTTCATGTGAATTCGAGTATGCACCATGGTGAGTGTTGCTTGTAAGGCACTAAATCAACTGGATGTGCAATGGAGTTTCCTCCAACAATATTAAACAGTGCTATTTGTCTCTCATTAGTGATTACGGGCGCCTTAACCGTTATCTCATTTTCTCCAAAATTGATGTTCCCCAATCGTTCTGGCTGATGCCGAGTCCTTTTGAATTTGAGTCCGATATTTTAATTTCGGGGGTACTTTACAAGATGCTCCTGGGACACTTTCAACATTTTCAACAAAAAAAAGCCGTATCGTTTTTGATTACATTTGGTTTTAGATAGTGTGAAAATCGTGTAAGAGAATAGTGTAGGTCGCATTTTCGTTAAAAACTTAGACTTTTAGAAAATTGCAAATATTCAATATTTTTTCGGCGTCTTCGTACAATCACGATATTATATATATATATATATATATATATATATATATATATATATATATATATTCCTTAATAAAATCTGTTCCTTAATAGATTATGAAATAAGGCCAAGTACAATTTTCCGAATTTGTGTGTACTTTTCGCGTGAAAGTACGGGTATGCGTGCTGTTTTAGCACAACTACTTTCTATTGTGACTATCCATCCGGATACGTCAACAGTATAATTTTAATTCATGTAGAAATGTAATTCCGAAAGTAACAAAATGGCCGATAAAAAGGTTGAGTGAGATAATAAAATAAAACGTTTTGTAGTTTAATCGAATCAAATCTCAAAAATTTGACAATAATAAATGTGCCAAACTCTAAGTAGAAAAAGGCGCATATGACTTGCATCAATATTAGTTTATATATTGTTTTTGGCGGCAAAACGTAAAGATAATGTGACGTGAAAGACAATTGAAAATGCAAAATTGAAAGATTGTGGAATGAAATTTGACGATGCGATTAAGAGGTTAATACATACAAATTCTGAAGAGAATAATATTAAAAACACTTCGGTAGATCGTAGATATCAGTGACATATATTATTATTAGTGAAATGAATTACAAAACAAATTTTACAGAAGCGTCGACAATGCTGTGGTGATAGGAGACTGTTTTTGTTTTCGTTTTAGCTGGCTGTCAAAAAAAGGAAAATGGTTGTAGGCGACGCAGAGTTGAGAACGGTAGTGGGCGTCGAAGTGAAAAAGTTTTTGTATCGCAGGTCGCGAATTGTTTTCAAGTTTTGATTTGAATTGGAAGTTTGAAGTAGTGAAAGCATTGGTTACGGAGTGAAGGTGGAAAATATAGAATAATGGACTGAAGATGAAGATTTCTGGAGTGGCGAACAAGCGAGGGAAGAGGAAGTCTGAGTTCATAACATGCATGTGTGGTAGGAGAGTATGTATGAATGAGTTATGTAATTAGCATAATGCAAAACCGGTGTGAATTTGAATTATTCATGTTTGTTATTTTTTAGTGTATTTAATATTTTCGTCTAGGTATTTATGTTGTATGAGCTAGATGGAATCGCGAAAGAAGAGGTAATGAAAACAAACAAAATTTGGTTTAAATTATATTGCATCGGACTTGTAGGTAGCTATATTTGCGGAACACTAAAAATTGAAACTTTATTTTGTTATTTAGGTATGTGACGATGATTGCCACGAAAATAAGCCACGCATCTTACACCTACCAAATTGAATAGAACATTCCAGCATTGCGTTTAGAACGGACTACGCGGAGCACGACACGAATACAAATTTTCTAAATGCGGTGGATAAGTTGAAAAATTGATATAGTTGAAAATTGGTTACGTTCACGTCTAGTGTAGGCAAAAAAAATATTATCGAACCATTAAATTAAATATAGAAGATTTTTAATATCAATTACAGTGTACAGCGAAACGTGGAACGAAAATAATTAAAATTGGTTATTTTATTGTTAGGCGGGTGCGTAGGTAGAAGGGGTTAAGTCAATTTTTGTCGAAAATGAGTATGATAGGACATTGCTTTACTACGATACCATCATTGTGTGTAAGGGGATAAGTGACGTTTTAATTTTTTCAGAAGCTTTTAATGGCAAAATAGAAATGTCACATATCTCTCTACATCCAATGCTAGTACTGTAAAAAAGCAATATCCTAGCATTCCCATTTTGGACAAAAAACTGATTTAACCCCTTCTACCTGCGCACCCGTCTGGATGGATATTTATTTTACAGTTTCGCCCATACTTGTGCGAAATGAGAACAATTGAAATTAAATTAATAGTGTGTAGACTTAATGCAGAGTTTTACTGTGTCTCCCAAGCATGGGGCAGAGATATATAAATTATTATTCAATAAAGGATAATAGGAAGAATTAATTCGACATCGGATTTTACACTATATTCATTTTTATTCTGTGAATGGCACAGACACATTTCTCTCTGATTCAAACAAGTGTGTCTGATTGCATGCTCACGTGTTTTTTTAAATAAGATAAGGAAGTTATCCTTATTCCTCCGTTCTGCAATGATCACTATCTAAAACGACAGCTGCTTCATGCTAGTAACTGAATCGCCATGACCTTGACACACCAAGGCATCTAGTGGTGCTCTGAAGAGCTTTACAGTTTCCTGTTAAGTCGCTTTTCCTTTTTGGGACATAAATGACTAGCTTGTAGTATAAGACCAACTGTACAGATATTCTTCAGTTTCTGAGTTAAAATGTATTTACATGTTTATATATTTTATACACGTTTCAGCCTATCATCAATGTACTGTCCTCGTTAATCTCGAAAAATATAATATATCATTTTTCAAAATTATATGCAATATTGAGAGATAATAAAATAAATATATCAGAAAATACAAGAGCAATATGGTTGTTTAAAAGTATGATTTCATTATTGAGATGGTAATATAGTAAGGAAAATGATGAATGACGAACAAGACAAATGCGAAGAAATGAGGAGAAAATGAGTACACACATGTGAGAAAAAGGAGCTGGAAACAATAGAGAGATTGAATGAGATAAGGGCAAGAAAAAAATGCAGGGCGAGGATGGGAGTGAAGAAGAAATAGAAAGAGGATGAGAGATGAAGGAAGGAGAATGAGAGATAGAGGGAGATGCTCTGAGGATCGACGTCAATAATAACTAGTAGCACTACAACACTACAATCTTTGTCAAATTATTTCGAATTGGTAATTTTCGAAAAAAATTAATTGCTTATATTTCGCACCAAATAACTCGAAAACGACTCATGTTTTCGAAGAATTTAACATGAACTTATTGAAAGATCCGTCTGTAAGGAATTGATTTTATTAAGAAAAGAAATCTCTCTCTTGAATATTATATTTGTGGAAAGACGCTCAGAAAACTTGCACTTTTGCAATATTCGAAAGCTCTGGGATTTCAATGAACATGAGACTTACATAATTCCCTTAACCGTTCTTTACGCTATCCAAGGACAAAGTTTTATAAAAAAAGGGTGCCATTTTTGAGAAAATTTTGAAAATGTTTTTGATGCTCAAAATTAAA